AGTTTGTGGGCTTATAGGGCCTAGTTTGGTGGTTCTCTTTAACACCTTTGGGCCAATTATTTGACCCGGAGTGTGTGCCTTATTTTGAATCCATATATTCACGTGGGTTATCTAACTTCCACAAGACTCTTCCTTCTTCGAGAATACTCTCTTGACTATGGTTCCCTTCTTCTTCTCTGCCTCGACGATTCCAAGCTGTCTTCTTCCCTTTCTTCCTTTTGGCCACATAAAACTGATCCTTAGCCCATTAATAGATGAGATCCCTGTGTGTTCTTAGGCTTGGAAGAGTGGCTAAGGGTTGGGTCTTCTTGAGGGCTAGGTCTGTGTTTTTGGGCGTTTTTCTTAGTTGAAATTGGTAGACCATTGGTCGATGATCCAAGCCAAGTGGGAAGCATTCTTTACCGGTTCTTGTGCTCTCTCTAGATGGTGATTGCAAACGTGGGAGGCTGTTCCTGAGCCTAAATCTCGACCGGTGCACAAGCAGGAGGAAGAAATGGAAGTATCATTGTTCTGCCTTAGTTTTAAGCTTTGGTTTCTGTCCAGTTTATGTTCTGTTCTCAGTTCTTATGATTTCATTTAATCTGCTGATTTCTACATGCTGAGGTTCCGGTTTTATATGTCTAGGATATGATTAAACCAGATTACATTTAGTATGCTAGGGGTATTATATATGATAATGTGTATTGAACTCTAGCATTAAGTTTTCTAAGCATTTTGGGAAATCTGTATTCTGATTTTAGAGCCTGCTTTAATTATGTTAACTTGGATATTGAACTTGTCATTGCATGTTTGAGCTATTAGAACTTTGTTAATGATGTTTGTTATTATGCTATTAGAGTATGCATTGCTGAATTAATTCCCAACAGAATATTTATACGATTTTAGCGATTCCGGACCAAAAAGTAGGAAATTGTTTCCTGAAAGTGGTTTTTCACGACCGTAGCTTTTCGTGAGTTTCGGTTCCATCAATCCGGGAAAATGGATGAAACCTTCATACCTAATTCCCCTTTTGCTCGCGAAGATGAAGGCAACCGATTTTCAAAAAAAAAAAAATGGGAATGAAGAAGCGAAGATAAAAGAAGAAGGATTTGGGATGAAGAAGCCACGAAGAGAGAAGAAAGAGATTAGATTTAGCACTTTGGGATTCAATCGATTTAAGCAAATGGTCGAATTGCGTTTTCTGTTATATTAAGAGCATGTTTGGCTAAGATTATAATCCAATTAAAATTAAAAATATAACCGTTATTGAGTCTCACTCGTCTAAAAAAAGTCAATAATAAATGCTAATTTTTCAATTTTAATCCGATTTTAATTTTAGCCAAACATGCTCTAAATAAGGTGAGACTAAGGTGTGTTCTAAATAACTCGTCAAAGAGATGCCTAGGTATCGTCTAAGCCTGGAGCCTAGGCAAAACGTCTCATTTTGCGTTTACTTATTATTATTATTTTTTGTATTTTCAATTCCTAAACGGTCGATTCCTTGTCTTCCCTATACGCGATTTATTTTTAAAAAAGTCTTTTCTTTTTAAATTCTTTTATTCGACTTCAACTTTTTTATTTTTTATTTTAAAAAATCATTTGACTTTAATTTCAAAATTTTAAAAGACTTTTTCCGTACAAAATTTAAAAATGATTTTATACGATAAAGAGTTAAATAAAATTACGTTACTATCTACATTATATAATTATGATTTTGAGACTCGTATTTTTTTGAAAATTTCAAAAAAGCATGTATGAAATTCCTATAAATCTATTAAGTACGACTTGTTTAGTTGAAAATTGAAACTATGAAAAATAATCAAGTTTTTGTATTTCAAAAGCTTGAAAACTATATAATTGACTAATTATAGGAATTATAAAGTAAATATAGTATTTTATAATATTAGATGTTTGATATATATTATTTTAATTATTAAACGACTTTTAAAATGATTAAAAATACAAAATAATATTAAAAATAAGAAAACGTTTTTTTACGTCAAAGCGTCGCTTAGGCTCATTTAAGCTCATAAAGTTTGAAATTTTGCCTCCACGAATAGTCATGCTTTACATTTTTAGAACACTGATATTAGGTAGCTCTTGAATTCTGATTTAAAATATATATTTTAAAAATATTATTATGGTCAAAGGCTAAAAACCTAAACAACATTGTGAAAGAGGAGGCCATTTGAGTCAACTTCCACCAAATTCTTCTAATGGTGCGTTTAATTGCGATTGTGGAAAATGGGTGGAAAGAAAATGATTTCCAGGGAAAGTAATTGGTTAGAAATTGTTTTGGAGGGAATTGTTAATTAAGTGTGTTTGATTGGCATAATTTTCCACTCGTAAAAAATTTGAAATTTTGGATTTTTNTGACTCAAACACATCCTAAGGTTCTTTCTGTCTCCCTCCATATAAAGGGTGAACTGGAAACCCACGATGAAGTAAATAATTTGGATGTTTGGACCAACAATAAGGTGGGCCCATGTTCTGCAAATCTTGCTGACATATTTAAGGAAAATGTATGAAAAGAAATTACAAAAATCATCACAAAAGCTGGAACTTGTTTCTGAATAAAAAAAACTGCTAAGAATATACAAACCATTAATATCACTCACACCAGAACTTTATATATTCGCCCAATACTATGTAATCCTTAGTCAATTATATTTATCCTGGACTCTGCAATTTTCATGGTTTGTAGACAAGAATGGATTTTTTTTTTTTTTTATGCGATAGGGAATATGTGGTTGAAAAAGAAGGAAAAATTATTGATGTGATAGAAAATATTATTTTACTGAAGAATGTGTGGTTGAAAATGAGAATTAATTTACTGTTGAAAATGAAATTGGTACCAAACATAGCCTTAATCTTTTCAGTATGTATGCTATTGGCCAATGCAGTTTTTGAGATCCTCTTCAGCAATAAAGTGTGTGTAATAAATTAGAGCTTTGATTTTGTTGATGTAATAAAGTGAAAATTTTATAATAAGTAGATTTTATTTATTTATTTAATGTTATCGTATTTTATCTATTTTTGAGCAAACAATAAAAGTGTCAATGATAATTTATGATAATTAAAGTTTGGTGCTTGTGTTGAGAAGAACAGTGTGATACAACTTGTATTTTGATCAAGAATAAAAATGTTCAGGATCAATGTGTAAGGGTTAACATATTGTACAGAAAGATACAATTTGGATGTGCGATTCGTCTTTACAGCAAAACTACTTTATTTGTAGTACGCTTGGATTGTATTGAATGGATTAAGTGTCGAATTTAATTTTTTAGCATACGACTGTACAGAGATTTAAATTCCATTTGATCACCCAATACTTTATCTTATTCCTTGATAGGATTGTGTAATTTTTTTTCCTACGTTTAATAGTTTTAAAATTATCAATGAGAGAGAACAATTTAATTGATCAAATATCTACTGAGATAGGATCTTGAATAGAGCGAAATAGACAATATGTATTTGTATTAGGAACCGTTGCTCTAAAAAGTGGGTTGAGTGATTACTTAAATATTTTCTGTTAAACAGTTATAAATCTGAGGTCATTGTTTAATGACGGCAAACTTCGATATCTATGAATTGGTTCATTAGACTGTTTAAGAAAATTTAACTTAAATTAATGAGAATAATTATAAGGGCAAATGATCATTTATGTTCGTACCTAATTATCTGATCTTGATAAGAATGAATATATATAATATGATAATGCAACATATTTTATCTTATGTGATTGTATATATTTAGATACTGCGGTCTTTGTCTTTATTGAGTGATTTAGAATCGTTAAGACATAATTTAATATTGAAGCTTGGAAAATATATGTATGAATGTATCCCTGTGTTGACTCTATAAAGTTTTGGACTCAATTGTAATTATTGTAAAAGTTTTGAATTTAACTGTAATTAAAATTTCACTTAAGATTTAATTAAAAATGTTCTCGCATGCCATTGTAGTTTATACTTTGGAGAATATCGTATAAGATTTGAAGGTTGGGAGGGCCAAGTTCTTGAATTAAAAGCTTGAAATTCATGATTCAGATTTTAATCAAGAAATTGAATATCAATTTGAGTAATTTCTTAATTATAACTTACACGTGAATGCTTAACAAAGATCATGATTGATTGAATTAAATAATTTTTTAAATTTCGAGCTAATTCTTGGTCTAGTTTCCAACCTTCAGAATCTAAGATAACTTGCATTCAAGTGTAAGAAATATTGTGAAATAGACACAAATTGGGTCCTAATTTGTAGCAACTCAAATTTTGTATTAAAAGACCAATATACTCTTACTCAAAATAATATAAGAAAACGAAAAATGAGAAAATGAATATTCTTAGCCCCAACAATTGTATGTATTGATAGTGAGAATCGTCATTTAACTTCACTCTATTAATACATGTCATTCAAGAATGATACAAGGAAGATGTTAATTAAATTTACAAAAATCACTACTAGTTATTTAACTCAGAGATAAGTTTCAATATTGGTCACTAACTTTATTTTGTTACAACTTAGTCACTAAACTATTTTCATTTATATCGTACTACTATACAAATATATAATTGCACATAGAAACATAATACTCAAGTCATCTATGCATTACTTGAGTCATCTGTTAACCCCTTTCTTTTTGAATGTTTATCAATATCAAACGGTCATTTTGAATGTTGAACGAAATTGATGTCAACAATATAGATATTTACTCGATTATTTCAGATGTGATTGAGGCTATGGACAGAAGGCTAATTGAGGCTGCTCATAGAGAGATGTTCATCAGCTGCTTAATCTGATAAAAAAAGATCCTTTCTTCATGAGAGATGTTGCCTTATCAGGTGCAGACACTCCATTGCATATTGCTTTCATGGTGGGAAACCTTCATTTTGTGAAAGAGGACTTAGATGTGATGCTGAAATTCGCAAAAGAATTGAACCGCGAGAGTCCATTGCACATTGCGACAGCTAATGGGGATGTAGAGATTGTAAAGGAGATCCTGAAAATAGATGGTAGTTTGTGTATGGTTAAGGGAAAAGACGGAAGAATTCCCTTTCATTATGCAGTGATCAAAGGGCTCCATTTGGCAATGAAAAACAACCAATTTGAAAGAGCCTGGCAATGCACCTCAAGACATACTATAAAGAGGGTATATTGGATACGAAGGATGAACAGGGGAAAACCATCTTGCATCTTGAAGTCTCCATAAAACAATACCAGGCAAGTATGACTATCTTATCGCTTGTTTGGTAGAGTGGACTCGACCTGAGCACCACGAACCAATTAAGTACGCCCTTAACGTTCCATTTTTTAGAGTTATGTTACAGTCCAGTTTATGCATTATAACTAGAATAAATAGTTCACTACCAGAATAAAGGGATCTTACTAATAAGTGTATTTATACATTTATCCGGCCTAAATAAATAGACATTTGATGGTTCTTTTGATTAATTATAGCCTAATTTATTGTATATTTAGTTTATTAGATGAAACTTGATGATTGGAAAAAAGAATCGAAAAAAGGCAAAAATGATGATTTTCAAAGTCCAGGGACTAAATTATAACTTTATAATAGTTGATTCAGACCACAAGACGATGATTGCTGATTATTCAGGTTCAATTGGATGCTACTGGAAGTTAAAGGAAGAAAATTGCAAGTGAAAATGACACAAACGAATCAAGAATCAAAGTTAGGGGACTAAAACACACACTTCAAAAGGATGAACGACGTGCATTCCATGAAATACATGGCGCGCGTCAGGCCATTTTGTTTGAGGAACCTGAGTGCAAAAGGCTAAAGCAGTGCGGGTTCCGGCAAATGGCCTGCGTGGGAGCGGGGCAAATTTGGGACCTTGTTGCAGTTTTCCTATTTGCTTAAAATACCTTTTGGAAACCAATTTTTACACGATTTTGACCTATTTTCAACTGATACAAATAGAGAGCGTAGGCACAACATTGAAGGCACCTCTCATACACCATTATTCATCAATTACATCAATTAAAGAGAGGCAAATTCATTGATCTTGTAAGAAAATTAAAAGTAATTTCAAGATTTTATCAAATTGAAGATTCAACCTTGATTCTTGGGTAAAGAAAAGAAGGCACAATTAGAGATTTATCAAGAAACCATCAAAGAAATTACAGATTTTAAGATAAATCTTCTCAATTTATTAATTATATGGGTTATATTCTTTCAATTAAGCCCCTGTTTGACAACTATTATTTTCAAAAAAAAATTCTACATATTCGTTTTCAACCATACATTTATACAATAAAATATATTGCAAGTAAATCCAAAAAATTTCCCTACTTTTTAATTACATATTTTTCCTAAAACCCACTATTCAAAACCCTATTTTCCCCAAATAATGGCTGTCAAATAGGGGCTAAACATGTTTTCTTGTGGTTTTGTGTTGCCGGCTAGAATTTTTATTACTAAGACATCGATGAACCATTATTATGATATTTTAATATAAATTCGATAATTCGACTTCAAATATGTGTTAATTCTTGGATAATTGCTATTGGAATTAATGACTTTTCAATTTCTTGATCACTAATTGGATTGATTGTAAATTTTATTGATTCTCGAAAGAGAGACAATAGGACATATAGTGCTTTATAACAATCATTGTAAAGTTCGATAGAGGATAAAGATATACTGCTATACTTTGCATGATTTCTATAGATGTTCTAGCATTTTTAATTCACGTTTTCACGTTCGCATCTTCTATGGAGATATAGAAAGGTCACATGAGATGATATCTTTAATTAACACCTATAGATACTTTTAATTAATTCAGGAACATTGATCAACAATAATTTGCATATATTGTCATGTTATTTAATTGCATTAAAATGAATTAGCAAGAGGGGATACGATGTCTTAATAAAAATTTCATCTAAATTTACAAAAACTCATAATTTGATCACTGGAACAATTAGTTTAATGAGATAAATTAGTATAATTTCTTCAAACAAATTTAACTATTCGATTAGAGTTAATATTAAATGATATTAAGTTAAGTACATAGTTCTCATGAGAATGATACTTTATTCACCACTTTATTACTTATTCATGATACCATACACTTGTAGGGGACTATTTATTGAATTAATTTTAGTTACCTTTTAGCTTTATTTTGAAGTTTTTGCTTTCTTAGTTTAAAAAAAAAAATATTACAGTGTTTTTCTTTCTCTTTTCAAGATCTTGCATTCAAAGTTAGATGCACTGTGATCATACTTAAGTTGATATGAGAATCGAATGAACATTAAGGTAAAAAGAAAAGAATAGATAGAAGTACAACAAAAATAGCAAGCAAAATTAATGGCAGAAAATATACAAAACCAAATGGCCATTGAGTTGAATATAAATTCAACACTTCCGGTTGTAGCAACGTGTAATAAAAATGAGAGATTGGTGGGGAATACGTGATTCCACCAATGGTAGAAAGCAGATCCAGCATAGCTTACGTAGCATTTGGGCAAGCTAACTTTAATTTGAGTACAGACGTAATAAACATGTCCTAGAATACATTGCAGTTCTATAGGAAACAAGTAAATAGTCCAAATGCTCATATTGAGGTTTTTGAATATGTGTGCAACAATTGAATATCCAGTGGTTTTAGTGATGCAATTTAGCCGAGACTCTTTCCTTACACCTTAAGAGATTCAGACATATTCCCACCTTACAATATCACTGTTTGGGACAATTTAAGCCAAAAATTCTTGAATAAATATTTTCTACCAAAAAGGATTGTCAAGTTGAGAGGTGAGATCACTACATTTTTATAGCTTAATTTGGAGTACTATTACGAGGTATGGGGAAGATACAAATGTTTGTTTTGTCAATGTCTACAACATGGTTTGTAGAAATGGTTCCAAGTTTAGTATTTCTACATTAGGTTAAATCCGACAAGCAGGGCTAACGTTGACTCTTCATGTGATGGGTCAATTACAAGAAGGATTGCAGATCTGGTTTATCAAATAATGGAGAATCTGGCATACACAAATACATTATGGTCGACTGAGAGATCAAGCAGAAAACGAGCTAGAAGGATGCACGAGGGGACACATTGACAGCTATTTTAGCAAAGCTAGCAGCACTAACTAAAAAGATAGATAATTGGGTATCCAATTAAACAGTGAATGCAATTCAAGTAGCTAGGTCGAGATGCAACCATTACGGTGAAAATCACGAAAGTGTGGATTGTAATGTGGGAAGCCCATTTGTTAAATAAGTCGAAGAGGTAAATTACATGCAGAATACCCGAGATAGCAGAATAATCCACATTTCAACATATACGATCATGGCTAGAGAAATCATCCTAACTTTTTGTTGAGCAATAATTAGTATTCTCAAGGTGCACCATATCAAAATGTACCACTAGGTTTTCAACATTCAGAAAAGAAACCTTCATGGGAAGAAGTGTTGAGTAAACTGGTAGCGTAATCAACTGAAGCATTAAGTAAAATAGCTGAAGCATCAACTAAATTCATGCAAGAGACTGAGAAAAATTTTTAGATCCAAGTGGCTGTTATACAGAATTTGGAAAATCAAATGGGACAAATTGCAAAGGCATTTTCAGAAAGACAACCTAGAACTCTACCAAGTGATACTGAGACAAATCCTAAACAGCAGGTAATGACTGTGAGTATTGTGGAGAACGAGTAAATTGAGCCAATTACTATGCAAATTAGGGTTCAACTTCCAGAAGTTACATCTAAGAGACGATGGTAGTGAATAAAAAGGTAGCAAAAATTAGATAGTCCACAGATAAGGAGCACGTGGATCATTCTGAAAAAGTAGCAAAAGTAATTCCAAATCAAAATTCAGATAGTCCACAGGGTAAAGCAATCGTTCATATTGAAATGAATTTACCTCGTCCCATGTTCTCAAAAACTACAAAAATAAGAAACTCGAAAAACAATTTGCAAGGTTCCTAGACATATTCATGAAGCTTCATGCCAATATCCCGTTACTTGAAGTCATATCTCAAGTATTGAGCTATGCAAACAATTTGAAAGAGATCTTGCAAAGAAGATGGAGCTCACTGAATTTAAGACCATCTAGCTAAACGAGGGGTGTAGTGTCATCTTGCAAAACAAATCGTTATTGTTGACTTTTATTAGACGAGTGGGACCCAATAACGGTCATATTTTCAATTAAAATTAGATTTTAATCTTGAGCAAACATGCGCTTAATGTTTTTAAATTAATTGGCCACTAATTGGAATGTTATGTGAATTTTATTGTTCTCGAGAGAGAAAATATGATAGATAACACGTTATAACAATCATTGTAAAGTTTTATATGAGATAGAGATATACCAATGTACTTTGCATGATTTCTATGGATATTCTAGCGTTTTTAATGCATGATTTTATGTTCGCCTCTTTTATAGAGATGTAGGAAGGTCATTTGAATTGATAGATTTAATTGACACCGAGAGATCCATTTAATTAATTTAGGAACATCAATCAAAAAGAATGTGCACATATTGTCAGTTTATTGAATTGCACTGAAACTGATTAATAAGGGAGATTTGGGGTCTCAGCAATATCTCATATTAATTTACAAAAGTTCATTATTTGTTCACTAGAATTGTTAGTTTAATTAAATTAATTATTACATATCATTCAAACACACTTGGGTATTCAATTAGAGTTACAATTGATTGACATTAGATTAAGTACATAGTTCTCGTGAGAACGATATCTTATTTTTTTCACTTTATTACTTGTTCGCGATACTGTACACTTCCGAAAAATCAAACGATCAAATTTTTGGTATCATTGCCGAGTACCTTAGTATTTAATTAGTTTTAGCTTTAATCTGGATTTTAATTGCTATAATAATTTTTAATTTCATATTTAAAAATTATAGTTTTTATCTCTTTTTTCAGTATCTTGCATGAAAAGTTCAAGAAATTGTGATTTTGCTCCATTTGATCCGAAAATCGAGCTAACAATCAAGTTGACAAGAAAAGAATAATTAGAAGCACATCAAAAACAGCAAACAAAATCATTGGCATAAAATATATAAAATCAAGTGGCCATTGGAGGTGAATGAAGATGCAACACATCCAGTTGTAGCTGCGGGTAATGAAAATGAAAGATTGATGGAATAATACATGGTTTCACTAGTGGTAGAAATAAAATCCTGCATAGATTATCCAGCATTCAAGCAAGCTAATTTTCACTTGAGGAT